GTATCTGGTACAACAGACATACCGTCAGCCAAATAGCTCCGGTCCCAGCCGTCTCTATCCTCTTTCTTTCCTTAATACCAAGTCTATGATTTTCCATGCCCTAGTCTCTTGTGTGCCAACCTACATATGTTGTGGTACAGCTTGTTTTGATTTGGTTTAATGTTGAACCACAACATTTGTGGGCTGTCACACAAGAGACTAGGGCATAGGATATAATAGGCTTGGTATTATATATAGAAAGAGGATAGAAACAGTGAAAGCTAGAGCTGGTTGGCTAAGAATAGTTGTGAGTGTGCAGGTTTCATGTAACTCAAAGGAACACACCACAGTATATCTAAATAAACACGGTAAGTATTGTAACAGTGAAGGCATGATAGGATGCTACCGGAAACGCGAATATCCCAGGGCAGAAGGAAAAATGCCACAATTGTTTAGCACATGTTTGGTCAAAGGATCGGCTTCACTTATCTCTGACGTCTTGTATGGTGCTAAGAATGGCGATGCACACTGACGATGCCGGCGAAACGTTTAGGAATGTACCACTTCTTGGAAATGATCATGCAGACAATGGACTCCGGACTAGGTGCGTTCTAAGTCTTCCTACCAATATGATCATGTTGCCGACTACGATGCAGGCGAAACGTTTGAGAATGTACCCAGTCTAATGTCTCATGCTGGGAATCATGCCAACTACTATGGCAGACGACTTCGCGCTAGGTGCGTTCTACTAAGTTGCCCTGACAAGAAGGCCAAGTTGCGACGAGGTCAACTCATTTCTACAAACGAATTCTTGTTATTTAGAGTCACATACAATACAAATAACAGCCATCTCTCACTTAACTTTATAAGTTGTTGGGCTTTCTTTTGTTATTAATATGCTTACAACACTTTGCTGATATCGCTTTCATTTCCTTTTTCTATTTGGCATGCAGGCGCCCCTATGGCAGCTTCGAAAGTCGTAGGAAAGCCAGCCGGTGCGAAAGAGGATAATGGAGTGAAATCGGCCTCATTCCGAGCCCCCGTAATCAAGCCTGCCAGCAGAAAGACCCCTTCTTCAGCCGATTCCACAACTTCTGCCTCAGCTACAGGGCCATTGCCAAGCAAACCGGTCTTGCCCATTGAGCAGCTATTATCAGACGAATTCATCGAGGAACAAGCCTTAGCGTGAGTATAGTTTGTGACGTGACTTTCCATTTCGAAGGAAAGATTTGCTGAAAGGAATGGGTAAATGATCACAAGGGAGACCGAAGGAGGATTGCTGCGTATTGAAGACGGTTATATTGTGCGAAGTAATCCTCGGCCTTACGTCCAGCGTCCCATATGAACCTGTGCTAAGCTTTTATCTCTACTGTGATACATTATCATAGCAAGAATGCATACATCTAATTATTGTAAATAATATAAGTAGCGTGATACACAAACCAGCACAATTTATTTGTAATCAGTTGAGGCAAATCTCCGAAACAGGGTACTTTTCTATAAGGAGCTCTCACAGCTTTATAAAATCAGTTGATTATCAA